TCTATAGAAAATGACTGTCCCAATGTTTGGGACACAGATTTTCTATAGTAAATTACAGTCCCAATGTTTGGGACACAGATTTTCTTTAAAAAATTACTGTCCCAATGTTTGGGACACTGATTTTCTTTAGAAAATGACTGTCCCAATGTTTGGGACATAGATTTTCTATAGACAATGATTGTCCCAATGTTTGGACCACAGACATGCTATAGAAAATCACAGTCCCAATGTTTGGGACACAGACATTCTATAGAAAATGACTGTCCCAATGTTTGGGACACAGGTTTTCTATAGAAAATTACTGTCCCAATGTTTGAGACACAGATTTTCTATAGAAAATTACTGACCCAATGTTTGGGGCACAGATTTTCTATAGAAAATGACTGACCCAATGTTTGGGACATAGATTTTCTGTAGAAAGTAACTGTTCCAATGTTTGGGACACTGATTTTCTTTAGAAAATGACTGCCCCCATGTTTGGGAAATAGATTTTCTATAGAAAATGAATGTCCTAATAATTGGGACACAAATTTTCTGTAGAAAATGGCTGGGACACAGATTTTCTATAGAAAATGACTGTCCCAATGTTTGGGACACTGATTTTCTTTAGAAAATTACTGTCACAAAGTTTAGGACTCAAATTTTATATAGAATATGACTGTCCCAAAGTTTTTGAGACAGATATTCTATAGAAAATAAGGGTCTCTACAGTTGGGACATTGATTTTTTTTACAAAATATTTGTCCCAACTCTTGGGACATTGATTTTCTTTTTCTTATAAACGTGATTTTCTTTCGAAAATTGTTGTTCCAAGTTGTTGGGAATTGATTTTCAGGAAACAATTATTATTGATATTTTTGGGACATTCATTTTCTTGAGGAAAAAATGGTGTTTCTTTCCAAGATTAATGTTTTTATTCTAAAGAAAATTTATGTCACGATTTTTTTTATAAATTAAAAATTGTTTTGCGATGTGTTTGTCGTTCGAAAATGAGGTAAAAATTTTTGGTTTTAGTTTTCGTAAACTGTAATTTTATAATGAAAATGATGTGCGTATGATTTGAATCACTACGTGTTGGTTTTTTAATAAATTTTAATATTTTTTTTATTTCAAATTGTTTCAAAATCTCAAGATTTTGAATCTCTAGACGCAATATTTTATTGAAGATTTCGTTTTTTTTTATATACAGTTTTATACAATAAACTAAATAGGGAAACAACTAAAGAGATTTTTGCAAATTTATAATTGGAGGTTAGGAGATGTATTTTGAGAGACTGCGAGAGAGCAGCAAATTAATTGATTTTAATTTCCAATAGAGCGTATAGTTTCTGTTCCGGGATTTTATAAAAATATTTCTGTGTTTTAGGCTAAAAAAATTTGAGAAAATTAAAAAGATTTATTGCTTGTATTTTTAATAAAGTTATGTTTTATGAAAATTTTGAAAAAAGGAAAGAAACTTAAATTTGGCAGTATTTGTATAAAGCAATTAGTTTTGTTGTTTTTTTATTTTATTAATATTACTGTTTTAGTGCTGTTAAAGGGTTTGATTTGGTTTGATATAATTTTATTAAATTTGTTTTTTAATTTACAATAGAATATTTAATTTACGGTTTTATGTTTCTTTTTTTATTAATTAAAATTTTCAATATTTTTTTATACATTCTTCAATTTGAAGAGATTTATTAGTTTTATATAGTTGTTTAAAATAAAAAATGCCCATTAAAAGTGTTTTTTTTTTTTTTTTTTTTTGTAGTGAGTTTTGAAATAAATCCAAAAAATCATATTTATTCAAAACTGCAAATAAAAAAATCAAATAAAAGAAATTACAATAAAATAGATTAAATTGTTTTTTTTATATAGAAAATAATATAAATGTTTAAGCTTAAACATAAGCTGAAATAAAAAATAAACTAAATTAAATAAAAAAAATTATTTATATAAAAATATATGTAATATGTATATTTAAAAATAAAATATTTATAATAATAATTAATAAAAAAATATATGTAAACTTGTAAATAAAAATAGATGATTTCATTTAGGTAAAAAAAATAAACAAAATATGTTAAATTTATTAATAAAATATTTTAAAAATGATGAACACATTCTGAAATTAAAAAAATGGGTTTTAAATATAAAAATTAAAACAAAAAAAATTCTTTTTAAATTTACAAAAAAAAAACTTTTTTTCAAAATTTTTTATTACTTTTTTTCTTGTTGCTTATTAAATTTGTTGTCTTCTTATGTTAAAAAAATTATTATTAATAAAAATGTTCTTAAATAAAGTAAATTATATAATTCAATATTTAAAAGCTAGTTTTATATATAATTCTTTAGAAAGAATTACCAACAAAAAAACTAGTTTTTAAAATGAACAGTCAATATTTTTTGTTTAGCAGATTTATTATTTAATTAATTATTTAAAGAAAATAAATAGAAAAACATAAAGTTGTCAGTCTGTGTTTGGATTTTGTTTTGTTTATATGTTGTTTTGTCTAAATTATTAGTTTTTTTAAAACGAAAATAAAATATTTAAATATATATTAAACGGTGGTGTTAATTATAATTTATATTTATTAATAAAAGTCATTTTATTTTTATTTAAGATCTTGTTAATATTAAATATTATGTTACAGTTTGTTTTTTTTTATAAACAAATAATTAATTTTTAAATTAATCATAGTTACTCAGTGATTAGTTATCGTTTTTTACAACAATATGTACATATTGTGGCAAATAGTCAGAATATAGTTAAGACTATAGTCCAAACCATAGTTCGACTACAGTCGAAAAGACAAAAAACTATAATCAAGATTATAGTCAAGTCTATAGTCAAGACTATAGTCAATTCTATAGTCAAGACCATATCTAAGTCTATAATCAAAACTATAGTCAAGTCTATAGTCAAGACTATAGTTGAGTCTATAGTCAAGACTATAGTCAAATCTATAGTTAAGTATATAGACTATAGTCCAAACCATAGTTCGACTACAGTCGAGACCATTGCGAAGACAAAGGACTATAATCAAGATTATAGTCAAGTCTATAGTCTATTTTATATTCAAGACTATATTTAAGTCTACAATCAAGACTATAGTCAAGTCTATAGTCAAGACTATAGTCTAGTCATAAGTCAAGACTATAGTCAAGTCTAAAGTCAAGACTATAGTCAAGACTATATTCAAGACTATAGTCAAGTCTATAGACAATACTATAGTCAAGTCTATAGACAAGACTATAGTCAAGACTATAGTAAAGACTATAGTCAAGTCTATAGTAAAGAGTTTAATCAAGCCTATAGTCAAGACTACAGTCGAGTCTATAGTCAAGTCTTTAATCAAGACTGTAGTCAAGTCTATAGTTAAGATTATAGTCAATACTATAGTCAAGTTAATAGTCAAGACTATAGTGTCTTCTATAGCCTACAATATAGTCAACAGAGTCGAAATAGTCCAGACTACAGTCTAGGATATAGTCAAGAATATAGTAAAAACAAAAGTCAATAATATAGCAGTCAAGTAGTATATAATCAAGTCTATAGTCAAGACTATAGTTAAGTCTATACTCAAGACTTTAGTGTATACTATAGCCGAGAAAATAGTCAACAGAGCAGTCGAGACTGTAGTCGAAACTATAATCGTCACTAAAGTCGTGACCACTATAGTCAAGATTATAGGCAAGACTATAACCCAGGCTATAGTCGAGACTATAGTCCAGGTTTTTGTCGAGACTATAGTCCAGGCTTTTGTCGAGACTATAGTCAAGACCATAGCCTTGTTGACTGTTTCGACTATAGTTTCTACTATAGTCGAGACTACAGTCAACAGAGTAGACGAAACTATAGTCGAAACGATAAACGTCACAACAGTCAAGACTATAGTCGATTATCGTCTAGACCATAAACGTCACTATACTCAAGACCCTATAGAGTTGAGTCCACCTTATAGAGTTAAGACTATAATCAATACCATTGTAAAGATTATAATTAGCAATACTTCACTCCAATCTATTGGTGAGACAATAGTCGACGCTATAAACAAGGCTATAGCTGACACTAAAGTTAAGATATAGTCGAGATTATAAATTATAACCTCTTCGAAAAAGAACTAATTTTTAAAATTTTTTCATATTAATTCATTATTGTGGTTTATTTAATTAAGAATAAGCTGATAAAAAATTAAGGTTAAGAATCTGTCAAAAAAGTTTAGATTTTGGTTGAAAAGAGAACAATAGATCCGAATTTAAGTAAAATCTCTACGAAAATTTTGTGTTAAAAGAATGTTTTCCCTCGTATTACCTTAACGAAAATAATTGTATAATAAATTCGAATCCGAGTTTTTTTAAATTTTAGTTAGCCTGTGCAATCTTCAAACAGAAATGTAATAAAAGTGTTTTTGGAATAGTTCAAAATATCAAATGTTAATGGAAATTTTCAAGGACAAAATTAGAGAATGTCAGTTTTTAATATGAAAATTACTCGGAAAATCAGCAATGAAAAGAAATATTTTCAAAATTTTAACAATTCAATTTCACTGTCCAAATCAACTTTTTTTCAAAGATATTCAAACAAACGAATCTTGAAATTATCAACGAACTAACAAAATTATAAAATATAAAAATTTTAATATGCAAAACTTAAAATATTATATTTTTCAATTATAATTATTTCTAATATTTTTCAATTTTATATTTGAAAACTAAAAAGAAATATAATTTCGCTAAAACTTCACAACTAAATTAAAAATTTTCAAAATATTTTAGAAAATATTTTAAGATTTAAAGAAACTTAATTAAATCTTTTAAACAAATTTATCTATTATTTCTAAAATTTCACAAAAATATGAATGAAATTAATGAAAATTGAAATTTAGAAAAAACTATGTTTACAAAGCACATAAATGACGACAATTAGGGAAATAAACCAGAGAAGGGAAATTAAGAGAAATTTAGTGTAATTGAAATAATTCTTACAATTCAAAGAGCATGTAATAAAAACGTTGTTAAAGTTGCTGATGATAGTGGCTGAGTTGAGACAAATGATGATATTGATGTTGCTGTTGTTGTTGTGGATGGTGATGATGATGATGGTGGTGCTGATGCGGCGGCTGTTGATGATGATGTTGTTGCTGCTGTTGTTGCGGCTGCTGTAACTGATGTTGATTATGATGATGATGTTGATTTACATTTTGCAATGCAGAAGGATGGACAACAGCAACTGTGGGGGGAGTAGCAACAAACGATGGTTGTTGTAGATTTATTGATACCGATGATGCTGAGGATGGTGATGAAGACGAGCCTGATGTGGATGATGTCGATGATGAAGAAGCTGTACCAGCAGCAATATTTGTATTATTTGTTGTAACGCTTGTATGCATTTGTGGTGTATGATGTTGATGAGGAGGATGTGGATGATGATGATGGTGGTGATGATAATTTGGAAAATCCATTGCTATTGGGCCGCCATTGGGGGCATTAACAAAATTTAGCGGTTGTGTTGTAAATGTTGTTGTATTGTTATTATTGTTGTTGTTATTATTATTGGCGCTTGTGGTTGTTGCAGTACCAGCTGCATTTGAGACATTTGTTGCACTGCCCGACATTAAGACCAACGCTTGTTGTGTTGGTAGCGGAGCTGCTGTGGGCATTGGTGGTGGAGGAGGCGGCGGTTGTGGTCGTACTGAGGCAGCAGCTGCGGCTGCAACAGCGGCCACATTATATAGATGGCGCTGTTGTAGCTGTTCATTAGTATACAGCAATTGATTTTGTTGATGCTGCTGCTGCTGTTGTAAATACAATTGTTGGTCATAGAAATCTTGATATTGTTGTATTTGTTGCTGCTGCTGCTGTTGAGCTTGATGGTAGTAATTTTGTATTTGATAATGTTGTTCGAATTGTTGCTGCAATTGTAATTGCATTTGCTGATGATGATATGCATCCGACAACATGTTAGAGGTGGCAGCTGTTGCCAAAACCGCCGATGCTGTAGAATTTGTTTCATTTTTATTTCCGCCATTAGCACTACAGGCGTTGGGAGCTTGCAAAGTTGCTGCTGAAGATGAAGATGCAGACGAAGTTGCTGCTCCTGCTGCTGATGTTGCGTCCATATGTTGCTGACTTCCATAGCCGTATGAAAACGAACCTGTGGATGATGTCAATGAGGAGGCTGCCGATGTTGTGGTCGGTGTGGCTGAAATGGCCGATGAAACCGAAGTGGTTGAAAGTGGTGACGTTAAATTACGTTGTGTTGCCTCTGTTGCCGTATTTTTACTACAAGATGGCCCTTCGAAAAGAACATTTGACGGATTGCTTGCGTTGTTTACATTGTTGCTATTGTTGTTGGTGGTGGCAGGATTTGTTAATGATGCTGTTGCGGATGATGAAGATGTTGTCGTTGGTCCAGCTACAATATTGCTTGTACTTGTTGCTGCTGCTGCATTTGGTACTGCTGCAACGGCATTAATTGCTAATACAGATCCTACTGCTGCTGCTGATGATGATGTTGAAGAAGAACTTGCTGCTACTGCTGTTGCGGATGTTGTTGTGGTTGCTGCAGCTGCTGTGCCAACTACTGATGCTGCTACTGTGGTCATACTATGTGAATCAAGTCTTTGTCATTTAGCATTGCTTTGCAGGGCGGCATTTATTTGTGTCCATAACTCTTTTTTGCAAGATTTCGATCTGAAAGTTTTGTGAACAATTTTATAAAAAAATTAAAAAACTACAAGTTTAGTTAAATCCTAGATAAAGTGTATTAAATAGTTTAATAGAAAGCGGAAAATTGAAAAGCTATCTTTTGAGGAGGTTGACAATGTTACCCTTCTTCCCCCCCCCTGAACATTCGAAGCATCAGCAATGAGACAAATCTACACTCCATATTTTGAATCTGTCTTTTATTTTTTTAGTTACGTCTTTTATATCTATAAATAATTCAAAATTTCATCATCCTTTTACCTTTTAATGGACTGCAACCAATCTTTAAATTGAGCACTTCCCTCGGGTGTTATTTGGAATGCAGCACGAGCCGCTACAATAATACTAGCAAAGTCCTCATAATCAGCTGGTGTTAAATGATATAATTTCTGATGGATACATTGAATATACCTGGAAGAACAAAGGTGTCCATTATATGTTTATTGAGAAGAAAAAACCTTCCAAAGTCTCAACTTACATTTGTTGACATTTTTGCACTAGCGGCGTTAGAGCCGATCTTAAATGTTGCATGACCAACTGATGATTATTCCTGCCCAAATAGTGAGCTGATTCAATAGCCACATCGTGCAACACGAAAGGACTAACTATTGAATTTACAGCGCAAACACAGAATTGGTGAAGATATTGTGAACCCAATTTTTTCGAAATTCTTAAAAGCCATTTAACATCTTCCCCATAGGGTGGATTGCGAGCATATTTTGCTTGCGGACGATCATCGTGAACACGACGTGCCAAAGTTTCCATGGCTAACATGCCAACATTGTAGGCGGCCAATAAATAACGTAATTGAGCGGGTCTATAAGAAGAACAAATTTGATTTCCGTATAACAATAAAATTTAAAAAAGGAAACTCACGTAAATTGATGAGGATGTCTTTGACGATTTGCTTGTTGCTGCTGTTGTGTTGGCGGCTGCAACTGTTGATGATGCTGACCAGCATGACCCATATTGTGTGGTGGTGGCTGATGTTGAGATTGCTGTTGGGGTTGTTGCTGTTGAACTTGCACAAATGGATAGACTTGCTGTTGTTGCTGCTGATTGGCACGCATTTGTTGATGAGCCATAGCAGCCATGGCAGCTTGCTGGGCAGCCGGATGTTGTGCCGACGGCGGTGGTCCTTGTTGTCCATAATAAACTGCCGCGGCGGCTGCTTGCATGCTGGGTGGCTGTGGCATTTGTGGTGGTCCAGTTGGTGGGACGGGAGGACCCTGGGGTGGTGGTGGCACAAATGCTGTTGGTGGTGGTCCACATTGCATGGCGGCCGCCTGGTAGGCAGCCTGAGGTGGCATTTGGGGAAATGATCCGCCTTGTTGAGCCGGATGTACGTAGGCCTGGGGAGGCGCGTTGGCACCATTGGGCGCTTGGTTGTTGGGTCCTCCGGGTGCTTGTTGGGGTGGTGGTGGATAACCAGGATATGCTTGTGGTGGAGGTGGCCCAGGCGGTGGTCCTTGTGGCAAATACATGGGTATTTGATTGGTCGGATACTGTAGATTGTGGTGATAAATACCTTGACAAAAACCATAAGGATTGTAAGGCGATAAACCCACTGGAGCCAAGGTGGGTACTTGCTGTTGAAATGCCGGCGGCGCTGTTGTCACTACTACCTGGCCCGGCTGTTGCGGTCCTCCCGGGCCTCCAGGCGGTCCTTGTAATGGTGGTCCCACCATTGCTTGTTGATTTGCAGCGGCCTGTTGCTGGGCAGCCGCCTGTTGCATTTGCATTTCATGATGTTGATGCGATTCTATTAGAGCTGATAAACTAACTGCTGCCGAATGATCCAAATGATCATCATGCTCGTGTTCACTACTATTGGGTGTGTTGCGCGAATACAATTCGTACCAGTAGCGAGCCACCTGAAAGAGTACTTCCGGATAGACTCCACCACCCTTGGCGGCATTTTCCACTGTAATGCACGCTCTTTCCAGCATATAGTCACTTTGTTCTTTACACTGCAAAATGGCTCTCTGTATCTCATTGGGATTTAAAGCGGCAGCATGTGGTAGCACCGATAGAGCCAACTCTGCAGCTGGATAATTACTATCCCAGCCTCGTGATGCTCTATCGGCCATATTGGCAGCTTCGGGTGGTGTTAAATGTCCTTCCCAGGTGTCTATTAAGAAACTAATGGCCGGTGCACCGATTTCCATGGCCTGACCAATAATCCAGGAAACATGAGAAGAATAAGTACGTGACAACCAATTGGGACTGACGCAATTGTGTAAACCGAGTGCGTAGAGGCCCAATTGAAAGGCGCACATGTGCAAGCCACGATGTGGCCCATGGTGGTTGTGATTGGCAGTAGCTTGAGTGAATAAAGAAGTGGAACTATTTCCTCCCGCCTTAACCAGCACCGTTTTGGCTAGTTCAAACATAAAGTGAGCACTGGCTTCCGAAGGTTGATTGGGTATTGAGGGATAGGCTCGTTTTCCCTTATATCTTAAATCCTTAACCCGAGTAGCGGTGGTCTGTTGTGATCCCATGGTCACATTCGTAGATATACCTTGATTATTTTGCGATTGAGCCAAGTGTGCGGGATTGGCCGGCGAGGAAATGTTCATGCCTGCCATATTAACCTCCAATTCGGCACTGGTGGAACTGGTGGGTCTACTATTGCCTCCAACAGAAGCATAATCGGGTGGAAACATTTCCATATTACCAGCTGCATTGTGGGCCGTACCATGCAATGCATTACCGTGTCTACTATTATAATCCTCTCCCTGTCGATTAGTGGAATTGGCTGGTGTTCTTACCGGAGGATTGTTTGAATAATACGCCGGCAGTAATGGAGTCTTTAGCAGCGTATGTATTTCTCGATCCAATAATTTCTCCATAATCTTGGCAATCTTGTGAGGCTCATCTTTGTAAAAGTATAACAAAGTCAAAGCCAATTCGCCGCGTTGTCGGCGTGTACCCTCACACAATAAGGGATGCTCCGCCTCGGAAACGTTCGCCTTTAAACCCAAAGCTGCTACGGCTGCCTCAAAACCTAGATTCTCATCGGTTACCGGTCTATAAATACTCATTGAACGTATGCGTTGATCTTTCATTGACACCGAAGGCATTACCAAAGCATCGAATATGTACGAAGCCAAATTGATGGGCAACAGAGCTTCTCCCCGCGATTTGAAAGTTCCATTTCTCAACCTTTCCGCTCTGTCTCTAATAACCTCAAGTTCCGGTTCATCTATGGGTATTTTCTTGAGGAGCGCCAAAATATCCGCTTCCTGGTTGGCTAATTTAACTTCTAATGGTTTCGTTGAAGCCGGAGGTCTTGGCATTTCCAATGCAAATATACAAATGCGAAAACCTATATGATAGTGTTCCGAATTTTCTGACAAAACCGTACAGAGAAAAGCACATTTTGTTAGAGTAGCTGAAGCCAAGACCGTCAAATGATGCGATATTGGATTGATATTCTTATTCTTGCCTTTTCTCTTGGGAGCCGGTGGCATTTCCATCATCAAATTGGGTGGATTTTCAAGCATTTCCTCGGCCAAACGCACCGCCAAGGTGCAGGCTTCTCTACCATGACCATGAGCATGTAGACCCTCTGCGCGAGCCAGTAAAATATCCCAAGCATCGTCTGAGGGTCGAACATTGGAGAAAATGTGAGGTTTTTCCGCATTCGTTGAGGTCGATGCTGCATTGGCTTGGGCTGAAGTCGAGGGGCCTGAGTAAACAGCAGATTGTATGGCTGCTGACAACGGTGCAGATTTACTACCATTATTGGCACCATTGGCGCTACCTATATTACTGCTACTGGCAGCAGGGGTTTCATTTGTGACCGTTGTTTTGTTGCTATTACTACTGGCCTTCATTAAAGCAGCTCTAGCTGCTGCTGATGTACTTGGCACAGGTGTTAAATCCTCATTAGAACGACGGTTATTAATATCTTGTGATACAAACTCATCACTTGAAGAGGAAAACGATTCATCTTTTGATAAACGTCTGGCATCGTTAGATTTAACCATTTCTAAGGCCGGTGTCTCCGATCCAGCTGCTATTAACAAAGAAGAGGATGAAGAATTCGATGAGGCCGAGGAAGAAGAAGAGGTTGAATCCGAAGAAGATTGTGAAGATAAAGTAGCCACTATCGTTGCCTTGTTTGTCGGGGTAGTGGGTAAAGAGAAGCCTATTTTACCAGTTGCATCTTCCAAACCATCCGGTGAAGAGACATCGAATGATTGTTGAGAATCCGATTGCGATAAGGTGGATATTGTGGGTTTATTATTAACGAACTTGGCTGGATTTATACTGCGACCATCGGTATCAGAGGCGCATAAATTATTGCTACTGCTATCGCCACCAAAATCGTCGTTTTCACAAAATCCTTCACTACTGGCACTAGATCGATTGCCATCATTACCACCACCCCCAGCAGTTGATACACTAACCAGACTAGCTAGAGGTACTCGTGGTAAATCTTGTACCGTTACCACAGACGAGGAGGAGGCGGCTTGTGCCTGAGCTGAAGTTGAGGGGCGATTTTCGAGAGCCATTGAATTACTAACACTACCTGCAGCAGTATTCGATTTATGGTCTAAACTAGCGGCTACATTTTGTAAACCTGCAACTCCCGGATTTCCCGAGTTCGAAGCCGCAGCCGACGGCACTTCAAGACCCTGATGTAAACGAGCATGCACACTGTCACTAGAAGAATTGCTGGAATTATTACTAGATGATATATAGAAACGCTCACGAAAGGGTCTCTCCAAACGTTGCTTAAAGCCACCATGTTGATCTGACGATGTGCTGATGAAATTATAATGTTTATTATTGGCCATTAACGCCTGCGTGGCATTCAGCTGACCACCATTAGTGGTTTCACACTTGTTTTCCGCATGTTTAAAACAAGTGAAAGGTGAATAGTAAATGGGAT